TGGAGATTGACCTAGTCTTCACATGCCCATTTCAGGCGCAGTGTGGTGTTGTACAGTGTGGCATTGTAGGATAAGCACTGGACTGCTAACCTCAAGATCATCAGTTCAAAACCACCAGCCACTCTGGGAAAGACTATATACAGTCACTATGAGTTGGACTAAATCAGCAGCACATAATAATAACATCAACAGCTGTCCCTGTGGCTCTCTCTTTCTCTGACCCCAGCCACCTGGAGCTAGGTCAGAACACCCAAGTTAAAAGGACACAATCCTTCAGACTGAGTCCACATGATATTCAACCTTCCTTCCTGCTGGACTCAAATTTAGGGATGGTTTCTCATTATGCCTTCAGGATGCCAGCAGCGAGCTTGGAGGTCCACATGGCATCCTATTTTATGACCTGCCAACTCCCACTGCTTCTCTGGGCTCTACAATCTACTGATTCACAATCTATCCTGCTCTACAATCTATCCTGCTTTGTCACACAAATCCTGGATAATGCATTGGACGCAAGGTTGGGTTAAACTACAAGGTTGGAGGTTCAAACTCCCCAGCCGCTCCTTGGAAACCCTATATAGGGTCGCTATGAGTCGGAACCGACTAAAGGTCTCTTAACAACAACAACAGAAATATATAATACTTATAACCTTAGATTTATCATTGCCAAAAAGGATACAAACAGAGACATACAGGGTGGGCGGGATCAGAGAGCGTTCCCAATTCAGAACTCTCCTGATCCCAGGGAAATGCAACTCTCCAGAGAGTGGATATTCCTGTCAACCAGGAAGCTTCATGTGCCTCCACATTCAGGGCTTTTCTTGGACAGCCCTGCATTTGGATAGCCTGTTATGTTTAATGAGGATAGTTGATGCTGATATCCTGGGTGACTGCTTTCTGATCTGTCTAAAACACACCCGTCAGTACAAATCCTCAGGTATGGCACAGACATCTCAGACCAAGGCACCCCAGTTACTCCTAGGATTATGTCTTCAGAGCCATGAACAAAGGCCACCTTACTTCGGTATTTTATCCCACAGCACTACTCTAGATTGTTTGCCAACTAAGTGCAATACTTTTCCTCTTACCAGTTACCACTGGGCACTTCACTTTCTACAACACTGTTGCTATTTAGTGCTGTCAAGTCATCTCCGACTCACAATAACCCTATTTATGGTTTCTGAGGAGGTTGATGGGTTTGAATCGCCGATCTGATGGTTCACACCACCCTTGCAGTCCAGTGCTTTATCCTACTCAGTTAACTCCGCTTGTCTTGAATAAACCTGCACAGGTGATAGAACGCTGTTTTACACTAGCCCAGCTTACACCGGAGAGTCTGAGTTCTTCAGTGTCCGGCTTCCCTTTCCTTTATTCCTTTTCACTTTTCTCTCAACGCAGTCCCCATCTTTCACTGCTAGGTGGTTTCCTCCATGCCTTAAACTCTGATACCTTTCCTTCATTCACAGGAATGTGCAAAGGTCTGATATAGTAAGTTCTCTCTCTCCCAAGGCTGTCTGCACATTAATTGTTGCCACTGTGGTTGTTAAGTGCTGTCAAGTTCTGACTCACAGCAACCCTAAATAGGGTTTCCAAGGAGCAACTCACGGTTCGAACTGCCGGCCTTGTTGTTAGTAGTCCAGTGCTTATCCTACAGTGCCATAACAAGACTCCACCTTGACTAGAATACGTTTCAAGGAATAGAGCTATAATAATAGAGTTTTGAGAACCACTAAATCCTTGAAGGAGAACTAATGATTTCTAGCAGCCTGAAATCTGCTTTAGAGCATGAAATCAAAAGCCATTTTGTCTGTGAATGACTCCAGCCAGACAAAGGTTAAGAACTCTCTTAGACACACCCTTCAAGACTGCTGGGGTCACCTGCTTGTGACATCATGCTGTGAAAGCCTCAGCACCAATCTGTAAGTTTCTTATCTATAATATTTCCTCTCCCTGCTTCCTGCAGGCCTGTGACACTAGACTGGTTATGGGAGGAGACTCCTTTGTTCTCTGTGTCCTATAAAAGGCCACCACGTGGAAAGAGACTGGAGTAAAAACAAGACAAAACAATTTTATTCCAGTAAGAGAAATCACTGATAATGATGAATTTCCAAAGTTCTCTCTTCATGTGGAGAAATAGAGTCTCTATGATATTTATATCATGTTTGGTAAAGTGGAAGGTTGGAGAAAAAGAAGGATGGATTGGCACAGTGGTGACAGTGATGGGCTCAGGAGTAGCAACCATTGTGAGGTTAGTCCAAGACCAGGCAGGGTTTTGTTCTGTTATACATTGGGTTGCTGTAAGTTGGTACCACCTCAATGGCACCAACAAGAATAACAATATAATATTTATACATTTGAAGATGGGGTTTCTTTTCTCCCATGTAATAAATCATACTTGGACAAACTACCCCTATTTTTGTACAAGATCAGTCCAGATTACTGTATTTAATTGGGTACCCAGCAATCAAATGGAACTATCCTATACTTGTTCACACTGGGTTAAAATGGAATACTTACTTGTGTTCTCACAAGACTGTGAGTTTCACAAGAGCAAAGATTGAATTTGATTATCTTTATTTCTTTAGATTCTAGCACAGCACTTCCTAGCAAGTGGAGATCAATTTTATAAATGAATAAAGTCAACTGAAAGAAATCCCAGTGGCCTAAGTTGAGTCAATTTGAGCAACAAAATAAAGTAGTATTGAATTATAGCCCAAAGTATAAAATAAACATCCGGGATAAATAAGTACCTGGATACATTAATAGGAAGAGACAAATCTCCCCTGTGGAAGATTTCCTTATCAATTATATAGATTTGTTGTATGTTGTTCCTGACTCATAGCAACCCTGTAGAGGGTTTTCAAGGAGCAGATGGTGAGCTTGAACCGCCAACCTTGCAGTTCAAACTGACCTTGTAGTCCTCTGCTTATCCACATCAGGATTCCATTTATGAAGATATTATTGTTGTTAAGTGCTGTCCTGTCAGTTCTGACCCATAGCGACCCTGAATAAGGTTTCCAAGGAGCGGCTGGTGAGCCTGAACCACCAACCTTGCATTTTAAACTGACTTTGCAGTCCAGCGAATTTACCCACAGCGCCATACCAGTACTCCAATTATGTAGATTCTGTTGTTGTTGTTGTTAAGTGCCATCGAGTTGATTCCAATCCATAGCGACCCTGTATAGGGTTTCCAAGGAGCAGCTGGTGAGCTTGAACCACTGACCTTGCAGTTTAAACGACTTTGCAGTCTGACGCATTAGCCCACAGTGCCACACCAGGGCTTCCAATTATGTATATTGTTGTAGTTAAGTGCCACTGACTCGGTTCTGACCGATAGCGACCCTGTATAGGGTTTTCAAGGAGCAGTTGGTGAGCTTGAACCGCCGATCTTGCAGTTCAAATGACTTTGCAAACTGGTGCATTAACCCCACAGCGCCACACAGATACTCCCCCTTCTTTTAAGAAGAGGTGCACTCCTGAAGTATGGCTTACACACAGTGTTTACCTTTCAGATAATAAGTGCAGTGAGAAGGGAGGAGAGAAAAATAACTTTAGAGTGGAAAAATCTGACAAGCACTACTTTAGTCAGGTAATCAGAGACAACATCGACAGTCAAAAACTATGTGACTAGTGTGTGCCTTTGATAAGATGTGATGAAAATGGCAGATTTACACTTCTGTGAGCTTCATACTTCAAATCCATTATTCCAGTCTAATTCTGAGGAAAAGCACTAGACAAATCCCAATTGAAGGATAGTCTACAATATTCTAATCAGTCCTCCTGAAAACTTGGTAGTGTGATGTGCCATCGAGTCAGTTTCAGCTATGGTGACACTAAGTGTATGGTTTCTGAGGCTATAAATCTTTACTGGACCAGGAAACCTCATCTTTCTCTTGTGGAGTGACTAAATTGATTGAAACTGCTGACCTTTCAATTAGCCCAACGTGTAACCACTATGCTATCAGGGTTCCTTTTAATGTCAAAATGACCATGTTCTAGGAGCCCAAGGAGATGTGATGACTAAATTTTATGTAATTATCCCAGTGTGGTTCTGGGGGATAAAGTACTGGACCACAAGGTCAGTTTGAATTGCAAGGTCAGAGGTTCAAACTCACCAGCCACTCCTCAGAAACCCTATACTAGATTGCTCAGAACCAATTCAATGGCATTTAAGAAGAACAACAGCATGTAACAACCAAATACATGTGACTAAATGTGAACTTTTCCTAATAGTGATATAGAAATTTTGGTTCATTAATTACACACACACAAAAAATTCCCCATACTATTATTGCACTATTGTAAAATGTTAATAATAGAAAAAATGGTGTACATGGATGGGGATAGGGTATACAGGAACTCTCCACACTATTTGTTTGAGTTTTCAGTAAATTTAGACCTATTCTCAACAATAATGCCCACAATTAAATAAGTAGAAACACACGCACAAATAACACAAAATAATAGAGTGGCCTATGCCCTTTCCTCTTACTTTCTCCTCTGGTTATTTTTAAAGGCTCATTCAAACAAGTAACTGAAAAAGCCTTGGCAACTTTGTATTAGAAGTGGTTGTAAGAGACCCAATGATAGCAGATTTTTCCCCACCATTTTAAGCACAGCATAACACTGCAGCTCACTATCTGGAGAAATAAAACAATTCCTTACAAACTAAGAAGTATTGTGCTAGGACATAACAAGCATTCCTTAGCACACACCAAGCATTCCATGTGCTCCTCTTCATTTCCCAGCTTTCGTGAAGTTAGGCAGTAGCCATGTGACGAATTCTAGCCAATAGCTTTCCTTTCTAAATTGACTTTGGAGGCCTCATGTTTTAGAGGATGTTCCCTCCAGATGGTGGAGGCTACATGGGTCCTAATAAGAAACCTTTGTAATCTCTGTCTTGAGCCACTCCACTGGCAAATGTGACCTTCCCTTCTTACAGAAAGGTGTTTAATCATAATATTTCTCTGAGATTTCCTATATTTCAGTATACCAGTACTTACCACAGGCAATGGTCCAATAGACCAAAGAGTCTGGGGTCTGGTACAGGATCCGGTAGGGAGCAACCCTGGCACTGGAGTCCAATACAACATCAAGGGTGCCCACCAGGAGGCCTGCAGAAAAAGAAAGAGACAAGTAAAGATTTTCTCAGTGCCTCTAAAATTCCCACAGGTGGTGTGAAAGCACTTCTGGTGTTAGACCTCCAAGAACATCACCTCTTACACAGTGATGTCAACTCTATATGACTTAGTCCAACAATCTAAAAGACACCACCCATCTCACTTCTGGTCTCAAAAATAATGGAAAGATAACAAAACTCCTGGGAGACCTGGAGGCTCAGTAGGTAAGCATTCAGCTAGTGATCAACAGATTGGTGGTTTGCACCCACCAGCGGTTCCACAGGAGAAAGAAAGGGCAGTTCTATGATTAAACTTGTTCGCCTGCCTGTGAAGCAAATGACTAAAGCAATTTATTTGTGAGAAATACAAATGCCCTATAGACCAATGCTCACTTCAGAAAAGCCTGTGCCTCCACTGCTTAAAAGAAAAGTTGTTGACAAAGAAAAGGGAATTAAGAAAACAGCTTGGTATTCCAAGCTGGAAGTTGCTACTAAGGAGAAGGCACTTCTCAGGTTGACCAAATGAGCTTGTCAGATGACACTGACAATGTCACTTTATTGCAGACCATGAAGGCCTGGTCAGAGGTTCGAGGCCCTATAGGCCCGAGTGTAACAAATGAGGCCACTGGCAGTCAATAGCAAATTGTTTTTCATCTTAGTGTTCAG